GTAACTGTTGAATACTGAGATATAATTTGAAGCAAAACTGGAGTTTCACTTTTACTGAAATTCATCAATAGAAACATTTTCTAATCAGTTAATTTTTCACTAATCATATGACTCGGTGTTCAAAGATCCATCTTAACTATCCACTGGCGTCTAAGCAATGTCATTTCATGTTGTTACCTGAATTATCCCATCCTGGTTACCGCTGTTAGCCAAGATTCATCATTAATATAAAGCATCAAATCATCCTGAAAATCCAGTCCTCGTTGCTCACTTCACATTTATCAAGGAAATCAGCCATGAAATGATATTTGAATCTTTGGCTGCTGAATCATGTATCCAAATTTTATTTTCAAAATAATTTAACTTGGTTTATGATTTCAGAAGAAACTCGCATAGTTAACTAGTTCACTAGTTAACTAATCGGTCCTAAGCACGGATAAAGAGGGAAGGTTGGGCATAGGGCTACCAACCCTACCCCATACAACAAATCCAATCGCTAAAGAAACCTCAAAGCACAAAGAAAATATAAAATTAAACTTGTTCCTCGCTTGAATCAGAGAGACGAATGGCGCCGATTGGTGAAAGCCTTCGGGAAGCCAATTGGCCGATGTGTCTTCTCTTCTCTTGATGAAAGCGAAAGTAAACATGGGGGCATGAAATGTCCGAACAATGTTTGGAGTTGGCTGACAAGGCTGCCCAGATTGTAAAAGAGATAAGAAGGTATGGCATAGAAGTGCTAGGAATCTGCGAGGGATAAGCAGATTGAACGGAAATGGAATCTCCAAACTGTTACCTGGAGAGTCAATAATCTACTCTGATATTGTCAGCCAGACGACAACCACTAGCACACTGAGTTATGGAGTGGCTACCATGATGTCCCCAAGAGCATCGAAGACTTCCTCTCATGAAGTGGGAACCAATCTCCCCCAGGATCATGACAGCAAGGTTCAACTCAAAACGAAGGAAATTCACAAACATACAATGCTACGCTGTGCACCTAAAACTAATGCAGGTCAAGCGAAGGAGGAATCCTATAGACAATTGTAGTCAGTAATGGACAAGACATCCCAGATGGCGACATTAAAATTCTAATGCGTGGGGTGACATGAATGCCAAAGTGGCAGCGGACAACAAAGAAAGGGGACCAATCATGGGGAGAGAAGCGCTCGGTGAAGTGATGAACGAGAATGGAGAACTGTTTGCAGGCTTCTGTGCATTCAACAATGTGGTGATCGGAGTACTGAAGTACTGAAAACAGACACAGAGACAACAGCGGGTATTAACACACCACTACTCCTGAAGGTTTGCAGGAAGGAAAGAAAGGTACCAGCCAATCGATTGGAAGAACGGCTACCTCGTCAAACTTCCAAAGAAGGGAGACCTAAGTCTTTGCAAGAACTGGCGAGGAATCATGCTCCACTCCAGTCCACCTCAAGCAAAATATTACGTCACATTATCCTGGAGAGACTAAAGGATGCGCTGGATTCAAAACTACGACCGGAACAGGCTGGCAGGCTGGATCCAGAAAGTAAAAATCATGTGTGGACCAAATTGCAATGCTACGCTACGCATCATCATAGAGCAGAGCATAGAATGGCAGTCAATAAAAATGGAGAAACTATTCACACGTCGAATTTAAATAGCACTTGTGGAAAATGCGCATGCTAAAAAAAAACGAAGCTCATATCACCATATATGTGGAGATCTGTGAAAGAACGATGGTGTGTGCAAATACTTTGCAAACACGGCTCTATTATATTATCATTATCCTTTTGACGATAGCTTCAGTGGTTTGCAAAAGACAAATTTACACAGACTATAGTACATGCTTAGGAGCATGAATCATTAAAAAGGAGAATTTAGTGTCAAAATATTATGCCGCATCATCCTGGAGAGGCTGAAGGATGCACTGGATTCAAAACTGCGACCGGAACAGGCTGGCTGACCTCAGGAAGTACAAATCATGTGCGGACCAAATTGCAACGCTTTACTACGCATCTTCATAGAACAGAGCATAGAATGGCAATCAGCTCTATACTTCAACTTTATCGACTTTGAGAAGGCCTTTGACAGCGTCGACCGAGAGGTAATTTGGAAACTGCTTCATTACCACGGAGTACCGCAAACCTTTATCCGCCTCATTCAACAACTATATGAAGATGCCACATGCCAAGTAATTCACAATGGGAAGCTCAGTGATGCTTTTGAAGTGAAGACAGGAGTGAAACAAGGTTGCCTACTATCTCCCATGATATTCCTGATTGTGGTGGACTGGATCATGCAGCAAACAGTGGGCAGCGAGAAGAGGGGGATACACTGGACTGCAGAAAAGAACCTAGAAGACTTGGATTTCGCCGATGACTTGCGTCTGATGTCACATAAACTTGAAGATCTACAGGCAAAAACTAACAAGTTGATAGAAGAGGCAGCGAAGACGGGACTTCAAGTGAATACAAAGAAGACAGAGGTTATGAAGATACCGCACCACCAACAACAGCAACAAACTTCAGTCACCATCAACGGAAGAAACTTAAAGGAAGTAATCTCCTTCACCTATCTAGGCAGCACTGTTTCAACTACAGGCGGGACAGACGAGGATGTCCTTTCTTTATATCCATCAATTAGGCACTCAAACATCATATTTCCCCATGTTAAACTCCTTGCCCTTCTCGTTATTTGTATCGCCCACAAGATTACTATGCAACTGCTTCCCACTCTTCATTTCAGTCTTGACACTCACTTAATGACGCAAGTGTACCCTATTGGTCAATAAAAGACTTGTATGTTTGTGATATGTATATAAACACGATTGTAAAACTTCGGGAAATGATGTCATCGAAAAGAAAAGTGTCTTCACTCAATCATCTCTTTCATTAAAGGGGCTTAGTTACTAAGGTCACAGAAGCATTAAAGAAGTGCAAAGTGAAAACAAAATCTGTAGGGTATTCGAGTGAGGCTGAAAGGAATCAGGTATAAAATGATGCTGTAGAGAGAAACAGACTAATGAACATAGAAGCTGACACATAAATGCATCGGTCTAAGTTACAACTTCATAGCAGCACGCAAACAAGTAGATAGGAAAAGTGATATTAAGGAAGACAAACGTGTACGAGAGGAATGAATGGATGAAGCTTACCAAGACGCTCAAGTCTTTGAAGATGAGAAACAGTAGATACCTTTGCGCCACTGTGACTGATTTCCAGCCATATCACGAAGTAGCCTACTATTGGCTACTTTGGATAACATTGCACTTTGAATAGAGGTGTTTCAGCAGACGCAATGCATCCAACCCACCCCAGTGGCTGAAGGTTCACAAATTCACCGACTCGCTTGTCTCATACTGTACACCTAATCTTGCAACTTATCACACAGTAATTCCACCACATCCAAGCACTGTTACGAAAACACCTTTGGTCAAAAACTTGTAATCTCTTTACACATCTTCCTTTCAGAAGCCAGGTATCCCAGCCGTATAATAAGACGCGGTGGACTATTGGCCTCTCTAGTCAGTGATGCATACGCTAAGAGTAAAACACTCTGCATTAGCCTCCAACGGGATGAGTTGAATGGTACTGAAAGGTCAATCGGTTAAGTTGTTTACTATTCATTTGAATACAGCAGAAATTAACTGTTTATGAGCTTTAGTATTCTCTTCTGATTCTCATGTATTAAACAAACTCTGGTAGACTCGTTATTTTTTCATTTATCGATTCTCTTTGTACTCTAAGGCAATATGGAGAGCTGAGCTGATGTTCAAAAGTCCAGAGTTTTCATTTATGAAATAAGTGAAGGGAAATAAGTTTTTCACACACCGATTGTTACTTAAGTGTAGTGTCGAAAATTCAACTTGCAAAGACAACCTCTATAAAGTATAACGAAATCACGTCGTAAACTACTTGAGAATGATGTGTAATAGCTTACCACTAATTTGGAACCCATTAGGAGTATCCATTACTCAGCATTGGAGAGAATAATTTTCACGAGATGCCCGAATACTTTATGAGAACAAGCGGAGATATGGCACATCAGCTTACCCATTCAACTTTCAAGCAGTAATCCGTACGTTCAAATCCAGCTCCACCTACTTCAGTCTGAGCAAACAGTATCGAAAACCATTCGACAATAAGAGTGACTTAGAATCTAGTGCACAAACACCTGTACCTGATTGAGCTAGATTACTAATGTTGTTTAAGCTAAGGTATCTAGAAGTTCAACAAGATAATCACACATGTCATCCGAGAAGGTCTGTATCATGAATGAAGTGAAGAATTTGACCATACACTGTAACTCAAAGGGATACCGGCCATGAGAATTACAGTTCTTGTGATCTGGTTTTCTAGTTAGCTATCAGGTTCATACCCAGTCAAGACAAACTTAGATAGGAACAGTTTTTCAATGTTCTCTGAATTATACAGTAATTATATAGGATTGAATCCTCAAGTTATAGAATGCGCTAAATGCATTTTTGCAGTTAGTGAATAGTTGAGTTAGTAGTCTAGTGGATGATGTTGAGAGTTTAAATCAGTAAAAATACTAGAAGTCAAGTAAATTCGCCTGATAAGTCGACATTACGAAATGCACATTTCAGTTCCCATAGATGCAATCCACACAAAAAATAACTCATAAACTTAAGAAGTTTTCAGTTAGAAAACAAGCAACCGACAAAAGCCAAGTCATATTTTACGAAGGAAATAATAGCCTGTTCCACAATAACAGAAAGATTTATTGTATGCTGTTACCTATATATATATATATATATATATATATATATATATATATATATATATATATATATATATACATATATATACATATATATATATATATATATATATGATCGGTATACATGAATACTTAAAATAAACTAGATCATAAGTTTACAAAGGATATCCTATGAACAGACCAAATAGATGCTGAAGAACTAATAAGGTTGACGAGAAATATAAAGTTAAGCATGCTATGTGGAAAAAAACAGTAGAAGAAAGAAATAGACAGAGAATTTATTCCTTTAAAATGTTTAAAATGTCTGCAACAGATTGAAAAACAAATTCTGGTCGAAATAATTCATCTCCTGGTGTATTGTTTACCTTATCAATTAATTCTTGATTAGTGACACCAGTTAGTACACAGGCTGTATGCAAACCAAATTTATTACCAAATGCAATATCTGTAAATAAGCTGAAATTCACAAAAAAGTAAATAAATGATTACCGTGCATACCAATCGAAAGCAACACACTACTGATAGAAGTTAGTGGTTAAACTCCGCTCACAGCAGTGAACCTATAGCTCATTGGTCTAGACGCTCCATTTCCTATCTGTGAGCGGAAGATTTGAACTCCTAGCTACACCCACAACACGTTTGGATAGTCAAGTAATAATAACAGTTATCACACAATACCTTTGATTAAGTGACTAGTACATTAATGTGCAAACAGTTGCCAAGTTGTTCACAATGAACGATTTCTAAATTACCATAGATTCTATCCACTTCAACATAAACTCATCATCATCAACAGCAACATAGGACCAGGCATTACAGCGTAACGGCCCGAGTTCCCACACCTCATATTACCACATCAAGTAAAAAGGCAGTGAGGCACAAGATGAAGATAAGAGAATGCAGTCAGAAGAAATATAAAGTACGAAAAGAGAAACGAAGAATGAGAAAGTGGTGAAATTCGGTATAGCGTCGTTAAGATGAGGATAATGTCTGTGTCTACATCTGCCCCACTGACATCGGTTCTGAGCCATGTGATCACCTAGAGTCTCCAACCACTGGTTTCTCATGTCTCGCCGACCCCAAACACCTAGTCTGCATCGCCCCACATGGCTCAAATCAACAGTCAGAGACTTCATCCATTGGTGCCATGTTTTAGTCTGGCCACCTCGGGCCTTTTACCAGCCTGAACCTACTTCAGCCAATGTTGTGTGACGAGGTCATCGGTGGCTAGGTATACGCATCACATGCCCCAACACATCTCAGTCGATGAAAGTTCACAACCGTATCAACTGGTTTACCTCTACTCCCTTGAACTCTACACCTGACTTCTGGGTTACTCACGCGGTGACACACGGAATACGGCCTATACTACGAAGGCAACGGTGGTCAAACACCTGAAGCCAACCTTCTCATTCCTTCCACCTTCAATGGTCATGTTTCACAGCCATACAGTAGGACAGAGTGGACTGCTGTGTAGTACACTCGACCCTTATTAGACAATGGGATATCATGGCAGCGCTACAGGTGGCGAAAGTCAATCGAGCCTTTTGTATTCGTGCAGAGATTTCATCGGCCACTGAGCCATCAGGGCTGATCCTACTTCCCAGGTTAGTGAAGTGGTCAACACACTCAACCACTTCACTCTCTATTGTTAGCCGCGGCGAGGCACCGTTGAAGACCAATCCTGGAGCAACAATTTGCATTTGGATGGTGAGAAACGCATCCCAAACATTCTCAAATTAACACTCAAAGTGTCCAGAAGACTCTGCATCTTGTCAACGTCTTCACCTAACAGGACTATGCCATCTGCGTATTTTAGGTCTAACGAAAATTCTCCTGTGATTAGGTCAACCTCTGTGTAGTCAGGTGACGAGAGTGAGACCTTCATGAGGGTATCTACGATAAAATTGAATAAGAATGCAGACAGTAGGCAGTCTTGACGGACACAACTCGATGAGCATAACTCTACCGGACATCTCACCATAGGCTCTAACACGCCAACAAGTGTTCGAGTAGAGAGCCTTCAATAAGGTGATGTAATTACTCGGCACGCCTTTCAGTGAGAGACATTGCCATAATACTTCTCGATCAACGGAGTTGAATGCCGCCTTCAGGTCGAGAAATGTAACTAGTGTCGGGCATCGATAAGCGTGCCTATGTTCCAAAACCTGGGGCACTGTGAATATTTGGTCGATACACCCATGGCCGGGTCTAAAGCCTGCCTGGTTTTCTCGGGCTTGCTGTTCCCGAGCTCCACTCAGGCGTCGAAGAATTATAGAGCCTAGAATCTTAGACGCTATGTTCGTCAGGTTGATTTCTCTGTGGTTATCACAAGAGGACTTCTCACCTTTCTTGAAGACTAGAATAATCAGTGATTCAGACCAGTCAGATGGGATCGTATTTGATTCCCATATACTGGTTAACACTTCCGTCAACCTGACTAAGAGCATTCTACCACCATCCTTGTATACCTCAGGAGTTAATCCATCTGGTCCTGCCGTCCTTCCTCGTTTCAGGTTACCTACTGCTTTCTCGACTTCTGCAAGTGTTAGGAGGCCTATCTCAATGTTCCATTCAGGATCCGACTGGGTAGTGGGGCAGCGCAATGGTGGCTGGAGGCCAGTTAAACTGCTCCCCGAAGTGTTCTGCCCATCGTTCCAGTCGTCTCCCCTGCGGGTGAATCACAGATCCTTCCTTCTCCGCTATGGTCTCACTAACCGCAGTCGGCCTTTTTCCCCCAGTCTCCTCAATAAGTCTAAATAACTGTCTACTGTTACCAATCGTCGCTGCCTTTTCCATCTCATTAGCCTTCATTGCCCACCACTGTTCGCGGTCGTCTGCTGACATACACTGGCTCCTTTTAGCCATTATTCCGGAGTCGACTACGGCCTTCAGCGCTGCTTTTACAACAGACTGGAGATGGCACCAAGCGTCTTCTGGATGACTGATAGTCTTCTGTTCTAATAACTGCCTACCCAACTTCTCACTGAACATGGCTTTAGTGCTTCCGTTGTCCAGCTGCACTCGTAATGGTTTTGTTGCCAAATGTTTCCTACGTCCATTGAGATGCAGGCATATATGGCTCGGAACAACGCCTGGTAGCTATCCAAACACGTACTCCAGAACGAACGGCAGTCTTCCACCGATCCTCTCCACCGATGGCTAATAGCAATGTGGTCTGTGGCCTTCGCTGAGTTGAGCTCGGTGAACTCCACGTCAGACAGTGTCTTTCTTTGTATCTGAAATTTGTGCTAGCTAAAAATAAGCGGTTATCCGAGCACAGCTGTAGTAGGCGATCACCATTATCTGTACGTTCAGACGGGATTCCGAAAGTCCCACCCAAGTGCCTTTCTGTCTCACTCAGTCTACCCACCTGTGCATTGAAACCACCTGCAACAACAACCACATCTGAGCGGTTGGCTTTCGAAAGGAGGCTAGACAGTTCTCGGTAGGACTCGTCCTTCACTTCATCCGAACTACAGTCAGTGGGTGCGTAAGCAGAGATTACAAAGAGACAACAGCGAGTCTCACTATTACTTATAGTTCTCACTGTGCCATTCAGTCGGATAGCTCAGAGGCCACTATCAACTGGGATCAAGTCTAGTAGTGAGCTTTGTGCCCTAGTGCTTAGTGCTATGCCTACACCTGCAAGACCATGAGAGCTATCTATCGAATCTCCAGAAACTCGAAGGGTGAATTTTGTGGATTCACCAGATTGACCGGGAGAGGTTCGGTGAATAACCACACTTAGGCCTTGTATGCGAGTCTCACAAACACAGCACACATCCATAGCCCGAGTTGCTAGAGTCTTTGCCAATGAAGCCTGTTGACCAATTTGACGGAGGGTGAGGACATTGAAGGCTACAATATGTAATTTGGAACGTGGTTTAAGGAGACCAAGGATGCTGTTCTGTGCATTCAGATCGTTGTGGAAGGCTGTAGAGCTAGGAGAAATTAAAGACGATGTAGTATCGCTAGTTGAGAGATGTGAAGGAAGATTAGAAGGTAGTGATAGAGAAGGTGGATGGCAGTCTGAGGAAACTTGAGTGCTGACAGAGTTGTGAGGGCGGTTGACACTTCCCGGCTGACCACACCGCAGAAGACTATTTTTTCCTGAGGTACCTGAAAGAGATTTGTGTCATCACACAGCCGATCGGACATTTGCTTGAGGCCTGTCACACCCAGCCTTTGTGTATGGTTGTTTCGATCTTTTGTTGTTTTGGGGTCGGATGGTCGAAAAGAAACGATAAATGAACCAACACCACCGGCCTAGCAGACCGTGGGGCATGCATGGTGGAGTGTGTTATTTTAGGGGTCGACCTTTCCTAACCCCCCCCCTTCCACTGAGGAGGCAGCACCATCAGCATGGCACTGCTGGTCATCCAGGGGAAACACCTTACACCCCATCCAGCTAGCAGCAGTAGGACTTCGCCCTCAAACCCCCATCATAGTGTAGTAGTTTACACCACAACGGTAACTGCTTTTCGTCTAACCACTATACAACAGATCTTTCTGGTATGGTACGACCTCGAGGGAACAAGTGTTCCACCAGCATAGCTCGTTGGGTTATTGTGATATGCAAGGCCGACCACCACGTCAAGGTAGCAGCTATCGGTCGGATGTGATGTTGCTGGCTATTTCTGTGTGATCATTGGTGAAGGCAAGCTTTACTCGGTCGACGCTAACAGAATCCGCCTTGTTGAACCTTTCGATTGTAACAACTTTATCACTTCGAATTGAAACTTTGTACGGATCATCATAAGCTGGTTGCAGTGGTCGCTGGACGCCATCTATTCTGACAAAAACGTGGGTACAATCGGTTAGCTGAGATGGAATATATATATATATATATATATATATATATATATATATATATATATATATATATATATATATATATATATATATATATATAGTATGGGGTCTAATTGAAAACAAAATTGTCCGCTTATGCGTCTGGGTTCTAACTGCACATGCGAGCGTTAATCCACATTAAAAGTCATACCTGTCAACTGAAGACGTCACTCATATTACAATGTTAACATGGTGTAACCTATTATAATATTCCTAGCCACTGGTTGACCACAGACATCCTCTGTTATTGCAGTGTTCAGAAAAATACTCTTCTAGTTTTCTGCACATGCTGACACTATTAAAAGATACTTTTATAATGATTAAGTTCGACCGAAGCTCTACTTTTCCTAGTAATTATAATCTATTTACCAACTAATCAGATTCTTCCACGTTTTTTATACTTATTTCTGAAATAGGTTTGTCGTTGCATCTTTTGTGTACCAGTCCTTGTAAAATAAACTGATGTGAAAAACTTGAGGCTCTACGAAAAAAATGAAATCGGTATACCTTTAAACATTTGTAGGAATGACAGTTTATTGCTATTGTTTGTATGGTTTAGAAAGCAAGAGTAAAGTGGTCATCTTTGTTCACCAGATATTAGTGTTCTTAGATTGTAAGAGAAGTAAACGGAGGGAACTATGTTAACAGTAAGTTAATTACCATCATTAGTTGGATTTGGCAGTTGATAGTTGTTTAATGGGTGACTACTACTATTAAAGATGAATACCTTATCACAGAAGTGATCAAATCTAGTTGTTTGTATTTTTAGATGGGAAGAGCACACAGCTGATGAGCTCGGCGTCAAACAAGTGAAACGGCTGCCCGGTGTTTAGCCCACTCTGACCTAGCTGGCGAAATACTACAGGTCAGCCTCAATGGTTTCTAACTACTCAAGTTGTTCAATAGTAGTATCTGTCGTTAGGCGAGATTTAACTCTTCACCTTTATAAAAGACATATGGATGATACATTTAAGATATGTGACGAAAATATAGATATTGAGGCTAGAGTCGAACTGTCCAATGATTGTAATCAATCGACCAGTTTCACACAAGAATGCAAGATTAACTCGGGATTTCATCTTCTGCATGTGTTGTTGAAAAAAGACCACGTGGTTCGCTTCAAAGATCAACTAACAGAAAGCTGAAGTGAACTTAGCCTTATACAAGTCGTCAGAGCTAGATTCCGCTGAGTAGAAAAACAAATCTAATTAACTCATCATCAATAAGCAGAAGGATCTCAGTAAATGACAGTTGATGATGAATTAATTAGACCTGACTGAATTTGCTTGCAGAATGAATACCCATTGAACTTTATTGACAACTTTAAAGCAACATACAGATCCCAGAAGACTATATTTAGAAATGTCGATTTCAGGGGGTGATGCTACAGCTGAAATTCTGAAGAACTGATTGTCCGGATTGCTGAGAAGAGCATTTTTTACAGCCAAATTATAGACCACCTTTTCTAATTGGTAAATAATTTATGAGTATCCCAAAACCGTAATGCGCCTTGCTTGCTTACTTACTTAATCCAGTAGAGCCAGTAATACTGGCCGCACAAAGCGGACACTTTCCAAACGTATATCCGACAATTACCCTGCGTCCCTATGGAGAGGAGAATGCAAATGTCACTAGTTCGATTCATGATCATCTAGTCAGTTCGAGTTGCATAGCTCAATCACAGTCTACCTTAGAGATTATCGGCTAAGGATGAATTTTAAACTGAATGGACATCTTAAACATTTTAATTATATATCTGACAATGATATGCCCTTTCTAAAGGACACTTCGGCACTCAAATAGAGACTCATTACAAAGTGTGTTCATTTGATATAATATGAAATTACAGTCTATCATGATTTCCACTTTTTATTCCTATATCCAAAAAAACTCACCATCAGGCAGATTACTCAGAGAAGTTAAAACACACCTAGAATACGACATCATCCTGGAAATTGAATGTGACTGTATGCTGAGAAATAATAAAAATACTGAAAACACCAACTTTCAGTGAAATCACTGGCACTACACATACAAGATATGCCCTAAATCAAATTTGAAAACGATATGCGAAAATCAGTCCTACTAAAAAAACTACTTGACCAGAATTCGTTTGTGTACCGAAACTGTGAGATGTGCATATCCGTTTTGTTGATTAACATAGAGATAATTTTGCTCTACTAGCAATGAAACTCCTCTTAAACTTAACATCATGAACATATGAATTATACTCAAGCAGATTACGTAAACAAAATCGATGGACTAAAAACAGATTAATGACCATTGTGCTTAGCGAAATTCCCGCGAATTTTATCACATACAGTTAACAAACCTAATGCATACAACTAATAATGGTACGTACTTATCTCCAACCATAATGGTTTTTGACAAGTTCAAATCACAATATTTACAGAGCAGATCGAACATTGGCTTATGCGGTTTCCCAAATACGATAGGCTCTTTTCCTGAAGCAACTCTAAAAGCTGACACGATTGAACCAGTACCTAAAGAAAAACAAAGAGAAATTAAGTGATTAAATATATATATATATATATATATATATATATATATATATATATATATATAGTGTGTGTGTGTGTGTGTGCGTGTGCGTCTATGGTTTAAATTACAATGCAGGACAGTAAATAATCAAGCAAGTGGCTTGGCAATGGCTAGTTTAGTCTGAAAGACTCCTATTAACAACCTTTTTCAGAAGTGAAACACGTTAACCAAAATACTAATTTATTAGTTACAAGCGGTTACCCAATGGAAGAAGTTTCGGCCGTTATGTATAACTTCAGTTGATTACTAGTCATACTGCATACCTGGAAATGTCTGAGGACCACCTTCTGCTTATAAGCAAACAGATCGACAAAACCAACATAGAACCAGGCATTACTGTGTAACAGTCCAAGCTGACACACTTCATATCAGCACATCCAGTAACAAAGCAATAAGATGGAGGATAGGGAAATAAAGAAAAGTCGGTCAAAAGCAGGAAAAGAATGGAAGGAGGAATGAGAAAATGCTGCATTCAGTATGGTGACTAAGACTATTAAGATAATGTATGAATACAACTGAGCCGCTGACACCGATTCTGGCCCATATCATCTAGTCCCCAGTCACTGGTTTCTGTTGTCACGTGGACCGCAATTGGCTAGTCTGTATCGCCCTACATCGCTCAGACTAACATTCAAAGACTTCAAGTAATGATGCCATGTTTTAGTCTGACCGCTCCGAGCTTCCTTCCAGTTTGAATCTACTTCAGCTAACATTACGTGGCGGGGCAGGTGGTAACTAGGAACACATAACACATCCCCCCGTCATCTCGGTCGACGAAGGCTCACAACCGCATCAACTGACTTTCCTCTTTTCCGTAAAACTCTACACCTGACTTCTGCGTTACTCACGTGGTGACACTACGACAAATGGTTTATGATAAGAATACAATGCTGATCGAATACCTGAAGCCTTCTCATGGTCTTTACCTGAAATAGTCATGTTTCACAACCATCCAGTAGAACACTGAACTCCAGCATAATACGCTGGACCTTTAATAGACAGTCAGATACCGCAGTGACGCCACAGATAGCATAAGATGGCAAAAGTCGATCGAATAATCTGTATGCGTACGAAGATTTCGTAGACCACTGATCAAAGCACTAGGGCTGATCTCACTTCCCAGGTAAGTGAAGTAGTCAAAGCACTCAACAAATTCACTTTCTACTGTTACCCAGGGCATCACAAAAGTCCAGTCCTGGAATGAAAATTACCATTTGGGTGGCCAGAAACGTGTCCCAAACATTTTCGGATTACCACTCAAGGTATCCAGAAAACTCTATCTTGCCAGCGCCTCCACCTAACAGGACTCTGTCGTTTGCGTATTCTAGATCTACTAAGGATTCTCCTATGATCAGAGTAATCCTGTCATTCCAGGTGACGAGAGGGAGACTTCTGTGAGAACCTCCATGATAACATTGAATAAGAATGGAGAGTGGATATTTTTTGACGGACACCACTCATGTGGTGACTCATCACAGGTTCTAACACGCCCACAGCTGCTCGGATGAAGAGCCTTCAACGGAGCGATGTACTTACTCGGCTCCCCTATGTGAAAGACACTGTCATGAGGCCCTCAGATCGACGAATTCAAGTGCCGTCTATGGGTCGAGAAATACGAGTGTGAGGCGTCGGTGTGTCTATGTTTCAGAACCTGGTAGGGTCTGAATATCTAGTCGATACACCCACGAACAGGTATAAAGCCTCTCTGGTTTTCTTGCATTTGCTGATTCCTTTGTGGTCACTACAAGGGGAATTCTAGCTTTTCTTGGTGTCTGGAACAATCAATGATTGAGACTAGTCAGAGAGAATTATATCTGACTCCGACACACTAGTTAACACTTCGGCCAACTTGACCAAAAATCCTTGACCACCAGCCTTAAATACTTTCTGTAATACTTCGTCTTGGCCTGCTGCTCTTCGTTTTGGGTTAACTACTACTTTCACAACTTCTGCAACTGTCAGGAGTTCTATCTCGATGTTCCATTCAGGCTTTGACTGGATAATGAGAAACGAACTAGTAACTGGAGGCCAGTTGAACTGGTTCCCGAAGTGTTCGGCCTATCATTCAAATCGTCTTCCATGAGAGTGAATCACAGATACACCCATCTCCAGCATGTTTTAACCAGCCACTTACCTTTACGCGCAGTTTCCCTGAAAAGTATAAAATACTGTCTACTGGTACCTATCGTCGATGCCTTTCCCATATCTCTAACCTTCGCTGCCCATTTCTGTTTGCTGTCAATCCGTAGACTTCTTGTCAGTCTACGTTTGAGTTGTGTTCACTCCTCATTGCATTCGCAGCCTGCAGAGATGCGTTCGTGTGCATCATTCAGTGCAGAAGCAGCTGAGACCTACTGGCTTTTTAATCACTTCCTGAGGGTCAGTTACGGTCTTCATTACTACTTTTACGGCAGATTGGATATGGCATCAAGCTTATTTCGGATGAGTGGACGTTGCCTTGTTTTGATATATCTAGCCAGTATTTTGCTGAAAACAGCCTTATTATTCTTATTACTGAGCCGCACTTACAATGATCTTGCTGCTGTAGTTTTCATACATATGTTTGGGTGAACATACATGCTCGAACTATCGCGTAGTCGCTGTATAAAAACATGTACTCCAGAAGGAGGGACAATCTTTCGAGGGCCGTCTCCAGCGATAACTGTCAGCAATATAATGTGTCCACCGTTTAGTTGACCTTGGTAGATGCCACGTCAGACGATGTCTCCCTTTATTTCTGAAGTTTGTGGTGTCCAGAAATAAATGGTTATCTGAACACCGTTGTAACAGGCGACCGCCCTTATCTGTTCGTTCAGTAACAATGGGGGAGATGTATTCACTCAGTGATATCTAAAGCCTGAATATTCGCACCAACCTCCATCTTCAGATTTTTTACTCTCTCACACAATCCTGTATACTTTGACATCACTTTTTCTATCCACTTGTTCTTTGTGTACTACTGTGAAGTCTGGCAACTTGAGCCGATGCACCTATGTGCGAGGTTAAACATTGATTTTATGTCTGTTAGTTCGGTTGGAATTCCAAAAGTGCCATCTAAGTGCCTTCCTGTCTGACTTAGCTTATCTAACTGTGCATTGGAACCACCTGCGACGAAAACCAAATCTAAACATTTGATTTTTAGGCGACTAGACAGTTTTCGGTAAGACCTACCTTTCCCTTTATTCAAACTGTAGTCAGTGGATGAGGATATTACAAAATAACGGCGAGTCCCACTTTTCTTTTAAGTCTTTACTGTGCCATTCGGTTTCACAGCACCCAGGCAACTGTTAACTGGGATCCAGTCGAGAAGTTCACTTTTTACCTTAGCACTTGTTGCTTATACCTACAAGACCACAAGATAGTCATCAAATTTGGCGGATTTGCCAAACATCCATGACCCGAGTTGGTAGAGTTTTGACTAGCAAAGATAGTTGCCCGATTTGAAAGGGGGTGCAAACATAGAAAGTGACACGTAGTTTGAAGAAGGAATTTAGAGGATCACGAATGCTGTTTAGTGAACACCAATCGTTATCAAGAGTTAGGAAAAATTAAGTATGGCGTAAGAGAAGAAATAGTAGGATAAGGAAATTTGATAATGACCTAAAAGAGCTTGAAAGCTGGCAGCTATGAGGATAGTTGACACCTCTAGGCTACTCATAAAGAGGAAGAACACTCTTGATGTAGCCGGAAGAGAAATTGGGTTTGGAGCCGTGTAACCGTCCCAACAAAATGGAGGGTCTTCTCAATACCTTCAGCAGAAATCTGAGTATGTTTGCGGTGTTTCGCACTTCTCAAGTGTAAGATGATCCTTCAGGACTGAAACTACTCCTAGTTTAAGGATAGGAAGTAAAGCGGTTGGATGCTTCAATCACTTACTTGGAGAGTTGTATCAGCTCGAATCGGCTGGTCGCTTATGAAATCTAAGCTCTGACACAGGGATCGTTCGGCATTTGCAAACGTGTGTAATTCATGACTCAGCATGCGTCCTAGCCAACTTGTTGAATGAGAGCCTTTGGGAAAGGATAAGAGCTGAAGTATGATACAAAAAGGCACACCTGAGAAATTCGGCGTTTCTATCGAAACTATAAACAATATTGCGATCTAAAACACTGACGGCATCCAAAGTGCTTCTTTTATGTTTGTATGCAAACTGATTATGATCACCCAAAGCTTTTAATGATGATTCAAGCAAGTATTGCTAGCTTCTCCCCTGCTTTTAAGAATGGAAACGTAACCGCAACCAGTCGAAATTTCAAAAGATGTAATTAGATACTGGGACTGTTTCAATAGATTCCCAGGTTCCTGGTACGCCATTATTTGAAAACGATTCACTGGATATTTAGTGGGTGGCACAACATATCAGACAGGCAATCAACGTAGAACCTAGCACGCAAATGCATGTCATGGTTGCCACGCTTCACAGTAGTTTGTAAAGAATAAGCGGATAGAAAAAGGCTGATATAAACCATACAGAGGAGTATGGGAGAAGGAATTTGAAGATGGTCAGTGGAAATACTTATTTTGGAAAAGTAAAAGAGTGAATACATCTGCACCATAGTGACCGATTTTTAGCCATTTTATCAAGGATCTCTAGTCATTGGTTCCTATGGTCCCTTAGACCCCAAACAGTCTACACCTCCCAACCCGACTAGGACCAAGTAAGACTTTATGGACTGGTACCACGTCTTGGTCTGATCCCTGAACATACTTCTAACTTAATACAACTTCTACTAACACTGCATGTCGAGAGAGGCAATGACTCGACACGCACGACTTGCCTAGTACGCTTTCCCTAACCTCGACATAGCTCACATAGTGATTCCACCATACACGAGCAATGCGACGAAGACACCTGTGGCCTTTTCATATCTCCTTTTCGGGGCCATGTCCCACAGCCATACAACAGGACAGAATGGAATTTAAAGCAACACACTTCTCACTTCACAGTTAGTCGGATATCACCGCAGCTAAAGATGACGCACGTTGGTAAATGCAAAAGGAGACTACTGAGCTATGAGGTTTATTGGATAAAGCCCTGAAATCCCGACAACCGATATGGCTTGATATGTATTGCATAATCCGCGCTACCTCCCACGTCGACGCATGATGGTTACCAAAGTAGGATCAAGTTGAAAAACAGTCAAGGGTGACTGAAGCACGAATTAACGAAGTTTTTGACTGATGTCCTGAACCGTGTAGGCTGTGATGATCCACGTATGTTAAGATATAATACCTGAAAAACCTCGGCAAAACAGTTCACATAAATGTACTTACTTGATACTTTCTTCGGAACGTAGAACGTTTACGTAAACGTCCACTTCTTTCACCTCTCACAATCATCTGCTTCGATACTCTTTCCCGTTTCACTTATACTTCTTATGCTTCTCCTTAGAGTGGCAACTGAAACTAATAGACTTCTATGTGAGGTTCTAAACTGACTTACTGGTCTGCTTGAACTAATGAACAACATCTGAACATGACATAAGTAGTACACAATCTCACGACCAAAAATTGCAATTTCACAACATATAGCTGTACTCGACAACTATAGCGAAAACTCACTGAATTTAACTACCATGCAGTGCTAGCTCTCCGGTTTAAGCCGAAAACTTAAAAATTAAAAGACAAAACAGTGTTTACAGTAACACCCACAACCACTAAAACAAAAGACTGAAAAACATGGATGACCACCGGTTTCCCAACATGGTAGGAAAATAAACGTGAACACTAAAGTCTAACCAACCTGGTAGCACATTAGTTCCAGCTGGCAAACGCGCATCTTCGTTAGTGGCGTAAAAAGAGGCTCCATTAGCTATATAAGTGGCACCTTGCATCAATTTTCTGTAATTAAAATGAGCATCGAAGCCCACAAGCACGGCTTTTACCTGAAACGTGACAGAACTATGATATTCTTACATTCGATCTCAACTGCACACCTTCGAGAGGATCATCCAAGTTAGTTGGTATGTCAGGCTAAATCTAAATAAAAGAGTAAAGAAACTTACCCCAATTCCGAAGTGACGAATCCCAAACTTTTTTAGCTCAGTGCTAATACTACACTCACCAACCACATATACCTCACCGTCAACTTCGTGCTGAAGGAAAGCGGCGGCAACATGGGCAGAGCATATAATATTTTTCTTTGACAGTTAGTTGCAATCACATCATACTTCTGAAACCGCAAGTCCCAGACCACGGCACTTTGAAACATACTGTTCCACTGACCGCCTACTGTTGTTGGTAATCAAAAAGATATTTTTCTCAGACTCAAGCAAGTGTTTGATGAGTTCCTGAGATGAAGGAAGTAAGCTGTTGGAATTCCAAATGACACCTTAAACAACGTCATATAACATGATCATTCTAACCATCACAGTCAAAAAGGAAAGTTTCGCAGCACCGCAAAACAGAAATCGCAGCTTTATTCCACATAAATTAGAGCGCCAGTTTGACTATCAAGTGCCTGTCACGCAACGTAACTGTAGTTAGGCGCGAGTGAGATAACCTACGGTAGAACCAAAACTTTGTGACCGCCAATCACGTTCAAGTATGTGCTGATCAGTCGGAATCAAGAATTTGAAGGACAATTCAACTATGAAAAATATAGTGCTTCATGTACAATTTATAAACCTGTTTCTTCTAGGTAAACAAAAATATCGAAATTTCAAGCAGGTTTATCATCTTTGAAAACAAATCATTGTTTGTATTGCTACTAATTTATATTAAGCATCCCGACTAGATTATATTTTCACAAATCAGTTCATTTGGGTAACCAACTTGAATTTTCTCAGCTCTCTTGGGTTGAGTGACCATGCAGTTATTTCCTTCAATATTTCTATATCTAAGGCACCCACTCCCGATCAGCCACCAGTCAGGAATTACAGAAGAACTGGTTTTGCGAAAGTCCGGCGAGACCTAGAAGGTTCCGCTCGCTGAAACTGCAATGACCTACTGGATCTTGATGTCATATGGGATCTACTGAAGGACACAATCCTCCAGATGATAAAAAATAACACTCCTCTGATTCCAAGATGAACTAACAAGCTCTACTCCTCCTGGCTTAAGTTAAGTAGGCAAACTTACCCTGCATAAGCGGTCATCTTGGAATCAATGGAGGCACACTACTAGCCCTATTGTCTGGCTAAATTATAAAGGCATTCTTAACGGATGTACAATAATGATCAGAGATGATAGAATAAACTACCAGACACAACATTGTAGAACCCTTGGAGGGGAATCATGGGATACTGTACTCGCTGATGAAACAGAACGGTGACAGTCCACTTAGTTTACAGGACCCCAACAGTCTAGAGATTCTCCATTCTAACTCCGAGGTAACATACTGGCTCATGAATTCCAAAAAAACTTCTGTCATTTGGAAGGTAAAACCACCCATCTGTTGGACACCGGTATTACAGAAGGGCTAAACCACATAGAGTTTGAACCCTCTATAATTATAGTAACATTGAAGAATTTGAACCCGAATAAGTCTTTAAGGATTGATGGGATTCACTCAAGAGCGCCCAAGGAGTGTACTGATGTTGTGTGCCCCACCAGCAAACCTCTCCAGATGCTCGTCTCTGGAGGGCAGGTTACCCTCTGGCTGGAAACGGGTGGCTGTCGTCCCAGTATATAAAAGTGGAAATAAACTACTTGCCTCCGACTACAGACCAATCTCCCTGATCTCTTCAGCTGCGAAGGTCACGGAGAGAGTCGTGAATGACTCATTTCGTGATCACTTACCTAAGAAGTCAAACTTAAACGAATGTCAACATGACTTTTTACCCGGAGGGTCATGTGACACCAATTTGTTGATGGCTTGGAATGGCCGGACTCTCTCAGTTGATCAGAAAAAGGCTGTTCACATTAGTTTACTTGAACTTTCTTCGGCCGTTGACGGGGTGAATCATAATATACTATGTAAGAAACTTCGGCTAATGGGTATACATGGAAAATTACTAACTGGGCCTAGAGATTATCTTTACACCGGGTCGTTGTCAGTTACAGTTGGCTCCTCTCCATCCAAGTAGTCCCCGATGCTGAGTGGTGTACCTCAAGGTTCTATTCTGGACCCACTACTGTTTCTTGCTCTTATCAATGACCTACTAGGATCCCTTAATTCTCATTCACTAATATATGCCGATGATCTGAAGATTTGGAGGGAAATATAGGTGTCAATGCATACTCCTGTCCCCTAGGAAGACCTGACGAAAATCTCTGGTTGGGCTACAGAAAATCTGTTTCCTCTCGACTCGAAGAAGTGTCGAATTATGATGGTTGACAAGCACAAAAGCAGTCCAGTTCTTGCTCTTTGGTGAAATAAATATCTGTCACTCTAACATGGAACAAGGTCTGAGAGTTACACTAAGCGACACACTAGGAGCCTCAGTCCACTGTCGCTTTGCAGCCAACAAGGTATATGGAATCTTAGGGTTTCTCTCGCGAACTTTGGGGTGGCCAACTCCTTCTCTTTTCACCACAGTGTATGCTCTGTACACTAGCCCTCATCTAGAATAAATTCGTTTGTGATGTCCCCAAACCTGAAGAAGGACATATCCGTCCTAGAACGGGTACAGAGAAGAGCCATAAAGAAAGTGATTGGGTTACGGCACAAATCGTACCCAGACCGCTTAGTTGATCTTAAGCTGCATCCAGTAAATACCGAAGGACCAAAGAGGATGTGACAGTGATGTATCACATCGCCCATAACCCTCTCCATCCTAACAGATCCTTTCTAAGCCTTACTTGGAAACGTGACCTGAGGGGTCACCCGTCAAGAATAGGGCATAAGAGGGCACGTACAGAGACCCGTGCCGACTTATTTGGGGTTAGAGTCTGTAAACTGTGGAACTCGCTCCCTTCAGCAGTTGTTACAGCCCTGTCTCCTGATACTTTTGAAGGAGTTTAGAAGCACACCTTGAATCCTAGGGCACCTGTGGGCTGTAATCGAAAAGCTTCCCTTTATCTGCAGGTCGGGTGCGGCAATACTGTCTTGAGACCAGACTAATTAACAATCTTTTATCTCTATCCATTCAGCTTTTTCGGAACCAGAACGTGTTCCAGTAAGACGGACGAAGAACCCAAGGAACCGCCGTTCACTAATTCTACAACACGAAGTTTGAAGACATTATCGTTTAAATGATATTGGTGAAATTTACCGTTGTGGTCCCATTAAAGGACCTAATAACTTCCTAAGACTAATCCATATGCTTTCACAGTTTTTTGTGCACATTCCAGTTGTCCGATCTAAGTGCTTCTTGCAAACAACAACCCGTTTCAGATGGAGCCGTATATGACTTCCAAGCATCTGTGTATACTGTGTTACTCAGTGATACACACTTTCTCATAACTGCAATAGCATATTTTTCTGATCTCTCTTTTATCCACCAAAAATATCAACTCCTCCTATTTTGCTAGTTATACTGGGAACACGCAACTTGTCACTCTAACACGGAACATGATATGGGAGTTACATTAAGTGACACAGGCAATAAGACCTATGGAGTCTTGGGGTTTCATTCGTGGACTTTATGGAGTCTAGGTGCTTCTCGCTTCATCACAGTGTGTGGACTATATATTCGCTATCGTCTAGAAAACAATTCGCTGATGATGTCCCTATACTTGAAGAAAGACATGAGTTCAGAGAAGAGCTGCGAAGATGGCATTGGGTTACTGCGCAAACCTCACCTGGATCCGTTAGTTACTCTTGGGTTGCATCCGGTACAATACCGAGAATTAGAGGGGATATTATCACCTTATTATTTGTCCCTTGGGCTTCATTGCCACTCCGTTCTCCGCAGTCTTTTCAACCTGGCTGCACGACTGCCCAAGAGCTTTCATTTATTCTTTACATGATCTCTTCCATGTCACCCTCGACTCAGACGCCCCACCCATCGTTTCCCATTCGGGTTCCACTCGATGATGTCCCCAACCGGTCTTCTCGGTGTATGTACCATCCACCTCCACTCTCTTCTGCATATTTGTTGAGCGATACTTTTTCGGTTGGTTCATTACCAGCCTTGAGTTCCTCGTCGCTTGTTCCTATTATTCTCCCTATCTGATCTACAGTATATACTGTAGGCAGCTGTTGATGAATGTCTGTAGTCCTTTGAAAATGCTTTACTTAACGCGCTAAGTCACTAGACCATCGCATAGAAGCACTGACTTGACTTTAGTGTTGAAAATCCGAATCTTGTTCTTTATGCCAAGTGTGGTCCACCTCCAAACTGGTTTCAGGTTAACGAGGGCCCGTCTTGCTTTTCCGATCCTAGTTTTGACGTCGTCATCTGTGCCGTCACCTGTAGCTGAAACGATGCTGCCTAGGTAGATGAAAGAGGCTACTCCCTTCATGTTTCTCCCATTGATAGTGATTGGTGCTTGTCGTTGTTGTTGGTTGAATGCCTTCATCACCTCCGTCTTCTCTACATTCACTTGAAGTCCCGTCTTCCTTCGCTGCCTCTTCTGTCAACTTGTTGATTTTTGCCTGTATACCTTCGAGTTTGTGCGACAAGACATTGGGCATAAATCATCATCGTTGGCGAAATCCAAATCTTCTTCTGGGGTCTTTTCATCGGTCCAGCCAGCATATGCCCATCTTCTTGCTCGCTCCTCACGGTTCGTTGCATGATCGAGTCGACTACAATCAGGAAGGTGATCGGCGATAGTAGGCGGCAACCTTATCTTACCTCTATCCTCACTTTGAAGGCGTCACTGAGCTTTCCATTGTGAATCACGTGGCATGTGGCATTGTCATATAGCTGTTGAATGAGGTTGATAAAAGTTTGTGTCACTAAAACCGTAGTGTTGAAGCAGTTCCCAAGTTACTTGTCGGTCGACG